AAAAATTTTGTTGTTAATCATAATTAATGTTTATTTTGAATGTGTTATAAAGGTATAATGTGGCTGGATGGTATTGAAAATATAGATAAGGGAATGCCATTATGTGGTTTCGTTTTAAATTTTGGAACATTTGTTATAAAGGGATGTTAAAACAACTATAGTCATATGAAGGATGAGGTATGATGATAGCAATATATATAAATATATGTGATGTAAAATATATAACTTGATATTAATCATAGGTGATGACTGTGGAAGGGATACAAATTCTTTGTAACCAATTGACACACTTTTTACAATTCGTAATGGAAGATGATTTTAAGGTGTTTATTCAAAAAATAAAAATAAAAAATATTTTTTTAAACGAAATCCAGTTATTTATTAGGAGCTTCATATCTGCACGGACCAAATGAAGCCAACTCTGACCTCATTTAATTTACATCCCATCTCTGACCCTGTTTCCCCCTTCCCCCCAAGGTGTGTCATCAGTCACATTCTCCAATGAAGCAATTTCGCGGGTGGTAGAGATCACTCCCCTCTGGCCATTGTGGATTTTCCTGGAGACAGCCTCAACTTATCAGTTGGAATGTGCTGTTTTGACTGAGATAGCAGCTCCTTGATGCAGCTGAGAAGTTCATTTTCCTATCCCCCTTGCCTATGGCAACTTGAGAGCAGGCCAGGGATGCTTTGCAAGTTGGCAATGGATAAAAAAGGCAGCAGCATAACCAACTCACCAGTCACTTGCTTGAGGTAGACAGCTATAGAAATTGAATGAATGAATGATGAATGAATGGTGGGGAAAGAATGTGGTAATCCCAAATCCACACCTGGTTGAACCCTTTATTAAGACAAATATAAAAACTCCTTGTCTCACTTCCTGGGCGGAGCTTACTGATGGTAGCAGCTTAAAAAAGCTGCTCCCGAATTCCTGGTCGCGTTATCTGTTTAGATGATCGTCTATCAGACATCTAGCAGGGTTCTTATCCTTCAGGGAAGAGGGGAAGAAGATTAGTCCTGCTGTGCAAGTGCCCTCTGATTTTTGCAGCCTTCGTGTCTGCGGAGAGAGGGGGGCCAGCCTAAGGCAGAACGGCATCCATGCTGGGAACTTCTAACTGCTTTGTGCAGTACAAAGTAAGCCTCCTTCCACTTAGCTCAATGTTTGAATTATTTGATCTTAACACAAGCTGAGCCCATATGCGAGGACTTTAATTGTTTATTCAAATCCTAGCTTCATTTTTTTTACAAGTTCTTCTTCCGTAATTCTATTTACTTAAAGAGGCATTTAAAATGGCGACAAACCTGATGAATTATTCCGTAACAATGATTGACTGAATGACTATCTTCTTAATTTCCTTGCTAAATCCTACAGAGCTTTAAAACTTCAAAAGAAGGGAGTGATTTATTACTCTGCCTCACAACCAGCCAGCAGTTTCACTAATTAGTTTCATTTTTACAAGAATTTCTCTCCCCCGTTAACTTTGCTGATTTAGAGACACTTAAAAGAACACCAAAATGGTGATGAATATGCTGAACTGTCTCGTTACAATGCTTATTTACTGAAACTTTTTATAAAGTTCTAACAAGCCTCAAAACTCCAAA